GAGGAAATATATAAAATTGTTTCAATAAATGTATATATACACAATTTTAGTTTTTTCTTTAAAATGTAATTATTAGGAATAATAAAGTTTTGATTTGAAATTAATTTGTTAAATAAACAGCTTCATGAATATAAAATATTTCATCAATAATCAATATTTTTATTAACAAATTGCTCTTAGTTTTGTAACATTAAAAATTTTTTTATAAAAATAAATTATTTTTTGTTTTAATTTATATTTTTTATATTGAAACTTCTTAAGATAAAGATCAAAATTCTACAAAAATATTCATATTTATAATATCAGAATTCACAATTATTTTAAGAAAATTGTTAATTTTATATATGAAAGGAAAAGCATTAAATATTTATAAATTGAAAATTAATAAAATATGCAGTCATGAAAATTCAAGCTTTCACACTAAAATTTTAATTAATTACAAATTTATAATTTTATAACATAAAATATATTTAATATCTTACCTATTTCAGAATCCACAATGTCTTTATCTGAATTTCTCGCTTTATGAACAATTAATGCAATCTGAATATAAGTTCTTAGTTTTAATGAATCATGGCCCAACATTTCAGTAAATAGTATACAGGCTGAAGTAATTTTTGTTATACTATAATTTCTAATAGCAAGTAATAAAGCTTCTTTACATGCTGCTGAAGTTCTGTCAATAAAAATTTTAATTTATAAGGTTTTCCTTAATTAAAATATAATAATCATCTGTATTAATTTCATCTGTATTAATGAGTAATTTTCTTATTATTGTTTCATATTTTAATTCTTATTTAATACCTGTAAAATTTGATTATATGAGTATATAATAATGCAAGCAATGTCTTACAACCACTAATCTGCAGAAAAACTATTTGGCTGTACTGAAGCTGGTGCAGCTGATTATGAGTGACATTTAAATAGTAATCTAGAGTTACTGTTAGGTACTTTGTTACATACAATAACTCTAGATAAGCATATATAAGCTTAATAACAAATATTTTTATTTTGTCATCAGTGAAATGTTTTCTGTGATAAAAATAAGTAACTAATTTAAAAATAAAATGAAACCTTAGAGCTGCCTACCTTTGTCAGACAAAATTATACTTAATGTAATTTTTTTCCCACTTAATGCATGCAGAGAACAATCATCATGTTGGTGACACACTAAGATTTGTTGCAAGTTCATGAGTTGATTTGTCAATTTTTAGCAATTTCTTCCCAAAATTTCTCTATAACAATAGCTTTTAGGTGGCTCATATGTTTTGTATCCTTTAGTTCAAAATTTCCTGAACATAACTTTCAAAACCATATTTGACACATCTGACATTTAGGAGCATCTTCCCCATACATTTCAAGTATTTTTTTACTATCTGTATAGCATTATATCCTTTATGAAATTTAAAAAGTATACATAGTATGCTTGATATGCATTTTATCTGTAAACATTTCAATTTGATTTTACACAAACAAAATGTAAAGCAAAGTTTTAAAATCAGCTTCTAAACAAAGAATACAATTTCACATTAGAAGTAATGTGTTAAATTTCACAATTATTGTAATTAAATTAAACTACATATATAGGAAATCACTCTCAGTATAAAAATAGCAAATTCACAAATACCTTTTGCGGAGAAAAACATATACATTAAGTACGGTAAAGTTAGCTGTTAAAGCCACATTAATTAAAACCATTGCCACAAATATAAAGGAATTGCTGCAATTAATTTTGCACATTAATCAAATCCTGAATTAAGCAAAACTGTGTTAAGCAAGAGATAACTATATTTACCCTAATTCTACATAACAGCCAGTATAGTTAGCATAACTAGAGTTGGCCATTGAATTGGTTCATTTTAGTGGTGCTATAGGAGAAATTGATAGGATGTGTTCTCTTTTTTGTTAATTTGTAATCAAGAATTTTTAATAAATATAAATATTTTATCTGTATTAAATGCTTAATTTCAGATACCTAAGTGTTTAAATTTAATCATGAAGCAATGTTTTCGTTCTGTTTTAGTACAATTTCAGCTTCTTAACATATATAAATCACTGTTCCAACTCATTTAAATGTAAATTCAACAGTTGGATACCTGAATTAAACATTTAATATAGATAATACAGTAGAACCTCGAAAACTCGGCTCTCGATAACCCGGCACTCCGGATAACTCGGCCACACCCTGGCAGGGCAAAAAAATCCTTAGTTAATTAATTTTCATTATAGACAGCTTTATAAAAGTATAAAAGCTCTCATAAAGTATTTTTCTGAGGTCTGTCTTATCAGGTAAATTACTGTACACAGTGTATTCATTAATTTTCATTTTCATGTAGTAAAGGCTCTATGCCTTCATAAAGGACGTACTTTTCCTTTGTTTAAGGGTATTTGGGCAGTTTATTCTCTGTTATATTCTCAAGTAAACAATACATACAAGTACAGTACAGTATTTTCTGAGGAAACACTCGTACTTATATTTTTTAACCCCATTCCCGATAACCCGGCATTTTCACAAACTCGGCCACCCTTCGGTCCACATTAGGCTGAGTTTTCGAGGTTCTACTGTACTATGGAGCTAAAAATGCATAAAGTAATATTTAATAAATATTTAATAGAAGATAATAATGCTGATTAACCACAATAACTAAACTAACCACATACACTCAACCTCTTTTCAACCCCACTTTGTCTTTTCAAGACAAAATGAAGTCCAAGAGAGTATATGTAAAACATATAGTATTGACAAGGTAGTTATGATTCTATTAAGAAAAATAAGATAAAATTTCAAAATAATTTTTAAAATTTTTGATCTTTATAAAAAAAATCTGGTAAGGACTCTAGCTCAATTTTCAATAAGAATATATAATGAATATTAAGTCTTCATTATCTAATAAACTGAATGCTTTATCTACACATCATTAAAATAAAAGAGAATAAAAACTTGAATTAAAAAATGATTTCATTTCACATTATATTTTGTCAATTTGTATTTATAAAGAATTAAAGCATTTTTCCAAATTAATTAAGATTATAGAATAATTTTTAAACTTTGCAGTTTCATTAATGTTATTATGATCTTTATAAAGTATTTTGTATTTTAAATTTCTTGAATTTTATAAACAAACAGAATTATCCACATACAAGTAAATAAGATTTATTCAAAATATTGTATTTAATATAATATTTTTTTTTTCTCTTAAGAGGTTATTTTATAGAATAATTGCTAGATTTTGAGTGTTGAGTTTTTTAAGTATTTTTAATTACTCAAATAAAAAAACATTTAAAATATTTCTTCAAACTAATTCTACAGCCAGAAATTTGTAACACTGAGATTTAGTCATCTTGTAGGCTAAATTAAAGAGAATATCTTTTATTACACAGTTATTACACAGTTAATATCTTTTATAACACAGTTATTAACAGAATTTCTAAAAAAATGTATGTATTTCTATCAAATGTTAATTGCTAATTAAAACTCTACTGTTTTCTAATTTAACATTTATTTTTATTTTTCATACCAATTAATAAAAGTTGGAAAAAAAAAACTAAGTATTAATATTTGAGTATGCTAAAGAATTTGAAGATATGTATTGTCGGGCAAATGGTAATATTTATAATCTAAATTTATATCTTTTTGAAAAATACCTGAAAGTGCTCAATGATTATAAGGTATTTGGATTATATGAAAGGTTATCCCTATTCTAAACATTTCTTTTTATACTAAATTAAAAATTTTAACTTATCAAATTTTAAAAATATAGTGTAATTACACATAATGTGAAAATATTATAAGCCATTAAGCTATGAACTAAAAAAATAATTTTTCTATGCAAATAATAATTTTTCTTAATTAACTAAATCAGTGCTTTTCAACCTGTGGGTCGCGACCCCTAGGGGGGTTGCAAAGCCTTACACGGGGGTTGTGAGTAAAAGAAAAAGACAAGTGTTTGTAGGTCCTACACTACAATAAAAAAAAACTACAGTTTCAATGAGAAGGCTGTGCCTGTTTATTTTACACTGTAAAATAAACCTGAAAAACCAATTGAACTGTAAAATTTACAGTACAATTGGTTTTTCGATTGATATTTAGCTCTCAACAGAAAGAAAATTAGATACATAGTTTTTAAAATCACTGATATAGTTTTAATATGGCCCTTGGGGTCGCCAGAATTTTTTAACTTGTAAAGAGGTCACGTATTCAAGAAGGTTGAAAAACACTGAACTAAATGATCATCTACTAATATTATAAATAAAAAAATCTTAATATTTTACCTTCTAACAGTAATTGTTCCAGCCATTGCAATTTCTTTAACAATGAATTTTGCATAAGCATAGCTTGGCCTACCATTTAATAAATAATAATGAAAAGTAAGTTTTTTCTTATATCCATATGTTTCAACTAAATTTGATAATGAAAAATGAGGTAGTTCAGTCATAGCATCTGAAAAATACAGAATTGGAAGTATATGATATTTTAAACCTCAATAACAAAAGTAAAATACTAAATAAATTATTAAATTTATTTAATAATACATTTTTTCAAAAGATAGATAATTTAAAATTATTATTGCAACTATTTTCCATCTAAAGATATGTAATTACTGACAACCAATATGAATTAGATTTAATTAAACAAAAAACAAACATTTTCCTCAATTTTTAATGGTCATTTAATGGTCATCATCAGGTTTAGAATTAAATAGATTCTTTCACTGTTGATAAAGATGTGCAAGTTAAATATGAGAATGCCAGTTACTACAATGCAGTGATGACTCTGCCAACCTAAAATATCTTAAAAGACTAGAAATATTCAAAGCATTTAAAAGGGGGACGACAATTAATTTAAAAGAAATGGACTCGCTAGCAATGCATGGAGGGCATGCTTTGATTTCCAATAGATCTTGAATTAAGTTTGAATTTTATATTTTGTATAAACTGGGTATTTTTTAAAATTGTTATCTAGTTTGAAGAACCTTGTTAAATATGACATTGAGCATGTGTGTATTTCACAATGTTCAAAACTTTTAAATTTTTATACTTTTTAAAACACGCATTTTATTAGTTCTAAACCTGATGATGACCATTAAAAATGGAGGAAAACATTTTTTTTTATTAAATTAAATCTGCTGGTTATCAGTAATTATGTATTTTTATTGCTTTATACCAGTAGTTTCATGGAAACTGTATTTTCCATTGTTAGACATCTGAGTTAATTGAAACTAGATAAATTTTTATTACTACTAAAAACATAAATGTAAATTATAAAAACATTTTTCCTAATCTAATATTGTCCTGTGTGAAATCTGTGAGATAATAAAAGAAATAATTTATTCAGTTTCAATTATTTTAGAAAGATAGAATGATTGAACAGTCTGAATTTATGGGAAGCAATGATCAATAATAATAAATAACTGTATCAAGAAATAATGCTGTACATTAACTAAAAACATAGTTTACAATTTGAGATTTAATATTTAAATGATCATACAGGATGTTTCACAATGTTTTGACAATTTAAAAGTTGAATAACTCATGTTAAAACCAAGATACAGCAACAGTGGTACCCTCTACTAGTAGTGTGGATTGTCAACTTTCATCTCATATAGGTTACTACGTAGTATCATGGCGTACTGGTCGAAGTAACATCATGCATTCATGGTGGAGTGCTATTTTCGCGTCAGCAAATCTGTTGTGCGCATGCAACGTGAATTTCATAAACATTTTAAGATTCAGCTGCGATATCCAATTCCTGCTCATGGAACAATCTTGAATTTGGTAAAAAACTTCCATGAAATTGTCAGTGCATCAAATCAAAAGTCAACCGGCCATAGGAAAACCATACGAACTCCCAAGAACATCGAACGTGTGCATAGCAGAATGGCCACCTCGCTCACCTGATTTAACCCCGCCAGACTTTTACCTATGGGGTTATTTGAAGGTGAGAGTGTACTTTGACCAGCCAAAAAGCTTGGAACAATTAAGAGATCGAATTCAAGATGAAATTTCCAGAATTCCTCCAGCAGTTACAAAAATATGTGTTCAATTTTGAGCTGGGTGAAATGCCTCGAGTCTTATGTAGCCACGAATGGTCATCATTTGTCCGATGTAGTATTTCATAAGTAAAATTGAATAAATTTTGTACTTGTGTAAAATTTTCAACTTTTTTTAGCAATTAGTTTGAGAGTTATTCAACTTTGAAATCGTCAAAACATTGTGAAACATTCTGTATTTGAGAGATAAATTAAAAACAGTTAAGGCAAATATTACAAATGATAAATATATTCTCCAAGAAAAACTTAGATAGGACATTATATATAAAAAATTATTTTGTTAGTTATATTATAAAATTTTGGTTTATAAATGTAATAGAAAAATACAGTACATTGTTATTTACTATTAGTATCACATATTAAAAAATTGAGAGATTAAATATGAATAATTCATAATCCACATCTATATTTAATTCATAAATTTATATCTATTTATATAATAATTTATGATTTTATTAACTTTTTATACTTTCTATAGTAAAATTTAAACAAAATCTATAAAGATTTCTATTTTCATGTACAGCTGAATTCAGCTGTAACAAGCACGGTTATAACAAGTTCATAGTATATACAAGGAAATCTTCATTTTCTTTACTGTTAAGGCAGTGTACACACTAGGCGTTTTTAAACGCGCGTTAGCTCGGCGTTCGATGAGCGTTTTTGGAGCGTACGCACTGGCTCAGTTTGGAAATGGATGTGAAAGTAATTGCTTGTGTGCCCCCCCTCCATCGTCGCTATAAAAGATGATGGCAGAGGCAAAGAGAATTTTGGGTGCACCCAATATTACGAGATAGACTGACACATGGAATGTTTGCGACGTTGTATCCAAAACTAAGACAAAATGAACCCAAGTTTTTTAATTCTTTTAAAATATCTATAAAATCCTTTGACGATGGTTGGTCTCTTTTAGATTTCATCAATAAATAGATCAGTATGGAAATGATCGTTCTCCATTTCAGCACATATATCTCAAAGCGCTCGGCTGACGCCCGCAAAACGCGTGATCGAATGTACAGTAACATGGCAGCACATATATCTCAAAGCGCTCGGCTGACGCCCGCAAAACGCGCGATCGAATGTACAGTAACATGGCAGCACATATATCTGAAAACGCCCGCAAAATGCACGTTTTAACAAAAATCTCTAAACATGTGCTTGGCCACAAGCACGTGTTTGAGTGTGTACGCCTATATAGAACTCTTGGTTCTTTAAAACGCGCGTTGAAAAACGCCTAGTGTGTACACAGCCTAAGACACATTTTCATACAAATGTTTACAATTAAAACAAGTTTACTTCAAATATAACAAGCAAATTTTTGTCCTGTGTAGTATGTAATAAGTGATAAAGCTTTATCACTTGAATGAACTATCCTCTGAGTTGTCAAAACTATGTTGTGTTATACAAACTGTTTTAGTGATGCATTTTTACATTTATCCTTCAGTTTTTTGTCTTATTTCATGATATATATGTCTTCTAATAATAGAATGTGCCTCTGAGAACTAGAGCACAGATTAAAAACGTAGAAGGGTGCAGAAAATTTGGCTTGTCTTCAATGGCATTAGCACTGTAAAAAGTAAGGATGGCTATTTAAATGCACTGGAGAATAACATCCCAGATACTAAAAATTTCAAAAAATGTATTCTTACAGATGTCAACAAAGCATTAGTGTGATGTTTTCAAGTTATTTAAGTGGTGGATTTCCAATTGGTGAATAATAAAAGAAACAACTGCAAACAGAAGTTTGTGGAGTAGTTCAGACATCAAAATTTTATTTACAACAATGAATGGTTTTAAAAACAGATATACTTATAAGTATATGGTAAAATATTGTATTAAAAAGTCAAATGGTTGTTTTTTTTAAGAAAGGAAAATGATGTATTTTGAATTGTGGTAAATAAATTAGAAAGTTTGTTTGTTGCATTTTAAAATTTTATTGTATTGAGTCAAATAAAATACAACTTATATATAGTCATTAACCATTACTAGCTATAATCAATGCTAGTAATATAAGGTATATCACTACAAAACAGTTATAGCAAGTAGTGATTATCAGAAGAAAATGACTTGATCCTTAAAGTTTGTTATAACAGAGTTTGATTGTATTTCAATAATTAAAATAAAACAGCACATCAAGTTAAAACTTAAAATATTTATATTGCATTTTTAAAAACCAAGTGAAAATATTTACATTAACAAAAAATAAATGATGACTTTAGAATAATAAAATTAATTCTTTCTTGAGAATGTTTAAAATAAATAACAGCAATAATACTTTGAAAGGTTACTTATATGTAACTATGTTTAAATTATATTATAATTAAAGTACTATAAATCACAGAAAATTTAAATTTACTCTATATAAATTCATTTTACCTAATAAAAAAATTTTAAAGTTAATTACAACTAATAAAATTAATTAAATACAAAATTAAACTAAATGTTAATTTCCTATAAATTATTGAAAAAGTTTTAAAAATAAACTTTTTCATTAATTGAAATTATTATTATAAAATCAATGGTACAAACATTTAAATACTGATCTTTTAACTTTTTGATCAAATATATTAAATGCAACATTATCAAAAATCTAATTTCTATAATTTATATTAGTTCTCTCAAAAAATCAATTACTTCATTTTATAATGAATTTATTTTATGAGTTGTACTTTACATCCAAACAAATTCAAAGAATTTTTAAAATTGTAAGCTTGCCGACCTGGTGGAGATTGGGGACTTAAAATTTCACTTCTCAAACACCACTGTAAGATCGCCTATTGGGGGGAGTTTTTATTCCCTAACATTGGGATGGCTTAGGTCTATTTATATGTGGGTGACAATTTTGAGGAGGCAGGAAAGATAAGTGTTTCACAGTTTATTTTTGACAAATGTGCTTACATAAAATTCTCAAGATCCTGGGGTTCAGAGTTCTGTGAGTTGTCTTCAGAAGTTCCTTTTCTTTTCATTCCGGTCCAATGCTGGTAGGGCTCTGGGGTGGTGACACTTTAATGTTCATAATCAGGAGAAACAGCACAAAAAAAGATAAACGGATGTACAATGAGTGGAGCGGAAACAAACACCACAGGTAGACTAGAAGAGGCCAACTTCTGTCCTTGACGTCTGAGTTCTTATAAGTTTTTCGTGACTGAATTGTTGCTAATTAAACGGACTTTTCTTCTGCACTTTCTAATTGGTCTCCCACCTGTCTCCAGGTGTAAATGGAGCTCCGTGTCGGTCATGGAAAAGGTCGGCTAGAGATGGTCTATTCAACATGTTCCTTTAGACTCTGATCGCGTTTAATCAATGACTATGACACCCATGCTCATTTTGATATTTTTCTAGTTTCATTTTACTTTCTAAACTGCGTCTTAATGTTTTAAAATTTAAATCCTCTTTTTAAATTTTCTTTAATTGAAATTTTGCTTTTCCTGTTATCCTCTATGAGCACTGACATCATAGTCCGGTATCACTGATTCGACACTTTTACAACTTGTTTTCTTTACTGTCGATCTTAACAAATTTTACCTTTTTATTCTTTTTGTTAACACTATTTCCAGACCTCACAAAATCAATCATAGATGATCATAGTGTAAAACTGAAAATTTAAATGTAAGAAATTATATTACCTTCATTTTTAATATTGTTAGTTGTTTGCCAACCAAAGAGTCTTGATGGATCAAATGATGCATTATCCTAGAAAAAATAGTTGAACTATATTAGCAAAATTTTGGAATTACATAAAATTTAATCTATTATATTTGATGTAACGTGTTAAAAACGTGTAAAAAGCTGACTAGAAAAGTTTGTCCACTGCTTTATTATTTTTGTAATTATAAATTTATAATAGGCCTAGTTTTTAAAACATTTATTTACTTTATAGAACAGAATACTACCTAGAAAACTATACTGTGCTGTATAGTAGAATAAGATTTTTAAAGTTATAAGTTAAATTAATTCTCGATTAATTTTAAATATATAAGATTTATTCCATTGCTAATTGTTCATGTAGATATTTTTAGTGTAGAGGAAGTTCGCTTTTTAAGATTGATTGTGACAATTTAGGTTGTTTATCCCAAATTTAACAACGATAGTTCTCTTGGACTGTGCATAAAGTGAGGCACTGATATCCTGTATCGTGACAGCTCTTTGTTATTATGTCAACTTATTGAATAAAGTCAGTTTGATGGTGTCAAGGTGCACAATACGCGTCAATTTGCCGAAACAGCCTCACGCTTTAACTGCATCCCTTTTTTTATGTAAACAGTACTCTTTGTCGCTTTAAAAACAGATTTTTATTGTTTGCTTTGAGGTCGAACAATACTTCCCCGCATTTGGTGTTTCTGATGAACGTTTTTTCTTATGGAAAATCATTCGGTGTTTAAAAAGCCACCATCTGCAAAACTCCTTGCATGATCTACATTCCCAGACAGGCGACAAGCTGTCTGCTAGAAACAAGTTCCTCTTGCACATTCTTGACGTCATCAAAGGTCATTTATGTTAAAATATGTGCAAGACTCATTTTTCTTCGTTCTATAAGCTTACACTTTTAAAATACATATAAATACATAAATTACGTGTAAAATCTAAATTAATTGCATTTTTTAAATACAAGTATGACTTAAATTGTAAATTTTTAAAGAAATATTCAAGTTTTTTTTCAATATAAAACAATGTTTTAGAAACTATTGTAGTTAATGTTTTAAAATCAATACTTATGACGGTTATATTTTTGAACGCCAACAGCGACACAAGCATTGATATTGAAAAAATTAACTTGGATTATGCTTATAATTTCCATAAATAATTTATGCAAACAGATCTATTCTTTAAAAAGCTGCTTATTAAATTTGTAAGAAGAATTATAGATAAAAATTCTGAAAATTGTTTTCAGACAGCTTTTCATTCTTCTTAATAGAACAGTTATTGATCTCAATTTTTTAATAAAACTGTAGGAATATTTAATTCCATTCTGTGCACATTGGAATATTTTCCGTGTCTGGATGTCGGGAAGTCGTTTCTTGTCAAACTAACACGATTAATTCATTCTCCGGAATAGAACACTCATCCATCAAGGAGCAGTGGCACGCCCAAGTGACAAATAGCGTGTCGAGGACGAATTCGACTCCAATCCACAATCACATTCCTGCGGTCGATGTGATGCGAAGTATATCTATTTTATGTTCAAATCACTTATTATATATGAATGACACTTCAATCGTTTTTCTTCTTCTCGCCAGAAAAAATAGACATTTTACGTTTCAAATGTATTATGTAGTTAGCACGTCCGAGATGTAATTATGTAGACATTTTTAATAAATGGTAAATCGAGTAAATGGAATTAACTTTTCTCTCAAAATATCGATTTATTTATTTATTATTATTATTTTTTTTATGGAGCGATTCCTCTTTTAACACGTATCTCCAGGCATCTAGTCAACATTATTGGTTAAACATTATTGATGCGGATGCCAGGTGTTTGTTGGTGTTATTAGCAACGACACCTGTGGCCTGATCTGTTTCCCACTTGTCTCCACATCCTTGGATCCAAATCTGTCAGACATATGTCGCCAAAAGGTTCATCTAACGAGGTGTTGTCTTTGCTGCTCCAAAGGAGGAGGTGACGCCCCATGGTAATCGGTGCATGTCGTTCTGGATGGTTCACTTGACATTTATTTATAGGCAGAAGATACGACTCTATTTTACGGAATCCACAGTAAAAAATGTTTCTTTCTTTAAAGATTTATACGATATATTCTCTTGAAAATCATTAATGAAGAACGACAATAGTCAAGTCTACAATATAATTAATGTGTGATTTCTACATTTCTGAAAAACAATTCAATTATATATTATGCTAATCATAAATTAATGTCTCCGAAGAGAAACTTTATTCAAATTTTAACAAGGAAATTCTTAAAAATTAAAATAAAAAATAGAATATTTACATAAAAACTAAAGCAGATTTCATATTAATAACTCTTCTGTGGAATGTTGAAACGACTTTTATGCATATATTTAGAATTTATTAGGCTAATTAATAAGATTTACTATTACTAAATAATCTTAATTGATGATAAATTTATCAAATTTTAATAAATTAGTGATACTCAATCTCCAAAAATCATTAGTGAAGAATAATATTAATCATATTATGTGTTCTAGAAACAAAATTGCTGATCTGGTAATAAATAAATACTATTAAAAGTGTAAACCTTACTAAAGGTTTGATTCNATATTTTTCTATTATAAAAGCATTTTTGCGATAAAATACATTGGAGTAAATAATTTTGTAATTATTTAACATTTTTTCTACTTTCCTACTTGTTTTTGGCTACATTAAAGCATTTTTTGAAAATATACAGTAAGGTTCCATATTACCACCCAATTTTCTCTAAGCTTACTTTCTGACTTTTTGTACAAAAGCCTTCAAAAACCATACTTATAGTTACACTAGTGAAAAATCCAATTAGGAACATTTAGTTTACTAGTTACCAGTACTTTTCGCACAAAAAATGTTGGTCTAGTTATGATACCTTGTTTACAATTCACTAAAATATAATTGGGGTTCCATAATACCATCTTCTCCTCTACTAAATTTAAAATTAACAAAATATCTAAAACTATGATAAAAACTGCTTCTTCAGGGCTTATATTTTCAGTATTCTTATTATCCACTGACAGAAAAACATTGTAAAATTTCAAAATTGTATTTATATGCATTTACAAAAAAATTTAAATTATTAATATTAATTTAATATTTTAATTCATTTTTCAATATTTAGAAATTTTCATCAGATTAAAGTTTCAATAACTTTGTGCATGTAATAACTATTATTTCCTTTTTTGACATGATTAAAATATTTTTGCATTTTAAAACTTAATGATCAGATAACTTGCCCATATAAGTTAAATTATTTGTCTGATTGCATCATTAGGTGTATACAAAAATTAAACTAGAACTCACCATCAGGCATTTTGGACCACTTGGAAAATGATGATATCATACCCAAAAGTGGTGTAGAACAGAATAAACAATGCAAGAGAGATTCAGTGCTATTAATAATATAAAACAGAAAACAGGAATAATTAACAAGATAAATATTAAATACAAAATAAAACAAATAAATACAGCAATATATACAAATATTGTGAGTAAGCAAACATAAATATAGCAAAATGATAATAAATAAAACTATAAAACTTCAAATAATGCTCTTCAAACATGTGGCACAACTGCAGAATCTTTAAAGTTAATTGTAATCCCTTTCTTGGTAGCCTTATAAATTTAGAGTTTCCAAACATTTAAGTTAAATCATAATCAAAGTGCAATGTATTATAGTAGGTGTGTTCTATCAAAAGAAACATCCATATTACTATCACAAGCAAAGGCCACCACAACAGTAGCGCATAAGAGCTTCCTAATGATGTCCTGATGTTCCCTAATTCTAGTGCTCAAACATCTATAAGTGTTTAATATATTTATGCTCCTGCACATGTGACTCACTATGTAAATTTGTAATTTTCAAATGTTTTTAATTTCAAATGTGCTTCCTGTTCTATTCATTAATTCCATTTCAGAACATGAAGATGGTCATTGCACATGGTCAAAAATGTTCATTCTGTTCATAAATATTCAGTTTTTACTGGATTTAAGGTTTTAATATTAATTTTAGTTTATACATCTAGTTTTTGAAGTTTATACATATTTTGTTTTATTAACATTTTGAAACTATAATCAATCCCATTTTTTGAACTAGTTGTTATCTAGTAAACTGTCATTAAATAAATCTTCGAATTCAATGTCCCTTAATAACTGGGTAAGATATAACTTTATATACACCAGAAAATCCAGCAAAAAATAAAATGTAATTATATAAACAAATGTTTTCAACAATTTTAGGATAATGACAATTTTAAAATTGTTGAAAACATTCATGAGTGCTAAAAAAAATACTAAAAATAAACAGCACTTTATATCAGTCATAGACGAAGAGAATTGTAAAATAAGCAGTTATTATTTTAATCAAAAACTTCATTAAGAAACTTCAGACTATGAGGCGTTAAATAAAATTAGGAGAAATATTTTAATCTTGCAAGCGCTTTCAACGTAAATATGTACGTCGTCTTCGGGCAATTCAAATCGAATAGAGAAATCGAACAGAACATTTAAATTTTTAAATTTTATTTAACGCCTCATAGTCTGAAGTTTCTTAATGAAGTTTTTGATTAAGTTAACTGTTGGCGTGACATCTGAACCGAGTATTTAATACACCTAAGCAGTTATTAAGTGGAGATACATAGTAAGGTCCAAAAGATGTGTCAAATAAATAAAAGATGTATATTACTTTTCAATACAGCTTCCTTTTATTGCAATAATACATTTTTCATAACATGGAATTAACAAATTTATATTGTCAAAAAATTACATTTTCTCTACCCTCAAAATATTCAAAAACAGCTGCCCTGATCTCTTCATCACTATTAAACTTTCATTTACAAAGATCAGATTTCAATTTTGTCACTCAACAAATAGTCACTCAGAGTCAGGTTGGGACTGTGCAATGGATGAGGAAGTTCGATGAAGCCACATTCTTTAATAACGGCCTTCATGCAAAATGCAGTGTGAGCAAACACATTGTCATGCAGGAGTTGCACACCTTTTGAAAGTTTACCCCTCCTTTTCTCTTTTATGGCATCCCAGAGTTTTACCATCAGGTTGGCATAATATTCAGCATTAACTGTAGAATTTCTATCCTTGAAGTCTATCAATAAAATGCAGTTGTGATTCTAGAAAATCATAGCCATCACCATCTTTGTTTGCTGCAACACTTTTGGCTTCTTCAGAGGAGATTCCCATGCGTGGCACCACGTTTCCATCGATTCTCTTTTGGATGGATGATCATAGTATAGTATAGAACCTTCATCTCATCCCCAGTAATGATGGACTGCAAAATCTCTTCTCTGTTCTCTTTGCATAGCTCCAAAAACTGTCAAGTGCAGTTAATCCACTGTTGCTTCTGAATTGCAGAAAGAATTTTGGGCACCCAAAGTGCACTGACCTTATTCATTAACAAATGTTCATGAAGAATTCAAAGAACAATTGTTTTCAACAAGTTCAATCATGCAGAAATTCCTTTTGTCTTCAGACATCAATCAGAAAGCACTTCATCCTCAACAAGTGGAATGCTTTCTTCAGTAATCAGTGTTTGGGCATTTGCTGCATGAATCATCATCGAAAGATTCTCTTCCAGTTTAAAAAGTTTTAAAATAAAATATAGTGGAGAAGCATCGTTGTACACATCACAAAGGTGTTTATAAATTTCCGATGGCATCCGACCTTCTTTTTTACTCAAACTTCAACATAATGCATACAAGTTACATTAATTAAACCACATTATCTGACACATGGGAATGAGAATATAAAAATACAACTGAGAGCATTAATATCTCAATTGTTAAGCTTCACAACGTCTTTTTACAAAGCTTAACATTTTTCTGCACATACACAATGTAGGTCAGGCTGAGAACTTTGGACCTTACTACATATGTCTTATTCATTTATAATTTAATAATTAAAATAAAAACTTTAATTATTAAAATTCTAACCTGTATAGATTTTCATTTAAAAAGTAATATAAAAAGTTTGGAATATTTTGTTCCAAACTATAATGAATAATACGATGTGTAAAATCAGAAACTGAAATTGAAGAACTTGAACACTGAAGTATAGATTTATCTCCAAAACTGAAGTGAATGCAACCAAATCGTCTTAATAATGATGGAAAATCTTCTAATTCTTCTTCACAAAATATGCCAATTCTAAAATATTTTAAAATTTTGTTAATTACCTTTTAAAATGGTAATATATAAAGAGAAAATGAATTTACCTTCCTAAAATATTTAAAACAGCTTCTTGAACATGATTTGTAGAAAATAATTTAATTTTGTTTAACATTGTTCCATTAATAGTCCATCCAAATGGAAAATCAAGTTGCTTTCTGGTAAAAATATTTGTGATCCATTTATTTAGCTTGTCAATATTTTCATACTCCAAAAAATATTCCCAACAAATCTCAGGTGAAAATGATGCTATTTTTGGAGCTGAGTTATTAATTAAAACAAATAATTATTTTTATAATTATAGAGAAATAATAAAATTATTGTTATTTTTAATTTAAAGAATAGAACAAGTTCTTTTTCATGAATTGAAAAAAATTTACAAATAATTTATTCAAAATACTCTGTAAAAATCATTTATAAGCTTAATATATTAAAAACTAATAATTTTGAAACTTTAATACATCTGAATAGAAACAAATAATTTAAAATACAGTCGACCCCCCTATAAGATAGAGATACGTTCCATTCTTTAGGAATCTGATTTCTTACGAATCCTTCCAATGACAACCCGACACGTGTCAAGTTTACGGACTACGGCTGTTTGAAAGGTTTTCTTCCATAAAATTAATCAATTCTAGACTAATCCGACTCAACATTTCCAAAATACGTATATATTTTTTTGGGAATAATCCGTATAAACTATGCTATAAACAAAAAATTGTAGGATTACTTACCGAGTGTCACCATTCGACATCGCCATTGCTCAACATTGTTTTCGTCGCGGAACAGCTCAGCAAAGAGCGGCCGATTTCTAACAACTTATTTTTCTGTGAAAACTTCGTAGAACTTCGGAGACATCATTAATATAAATAATTTTAATCGCCGTTGAATAAGAAATGTTTCTTTCACAAGAAATGTATAAAATTACAGTACTGTATTAGACTTACGGTACCTAATTTACATACTGACAGACGATAGTTAGCGTAAAAATCTCCGTAGCGTGGCGCCACGCTAGACGGCGGAAATTATATATTTAATTATAACAAAGTTACAATAAGTTAATATATAATTATATATACAGTACCTAATTTATATATAATTAATATATAATTATATGTACAGTACCTAATTTATATATAATTTATATAATACTGTCCAGACGATAGAAATCTCTCTGTAGCGTGGCGCTATGGACGGCAGAAAAGTAGTTCGGCTGCCCGATGACGTTTGAGGTAATTATAGGGAATTTTTACTGTTTATTAAGGATATCGGTCACAATTTTTTCGTAGTTTTATAGGAATCGTAATTATAGGGACCGTAATTATAGGGGGGTCGACTGTATTTTAAATTTAATTATATAAAATAATAAAAAAATTAATAAAAAAATAATATATTACAATAATTAAAAATTGTACTATATTCTTAAGATTTAGATTAAATAGATTCAAATTATATGTATTGTACAGTACATGGTATTTAAACTATTTACTGTCGGAACACTTGAAAAGGCATTAGTTATATTTTTGTTTGGTCATGTTAACAAAATTATACAAATTATTATATTAAGAATATGTAAATCTTGTTATTTCATCTTTTGACATAACTGTTCATCATAATGGGTTCTTAAATTATCACTATTATTTGAATGTAATGAATGAGATATTATTTAACATGATGCTACTTATATATACAGTAGAGCATCGATTATCCAAAACAATTTGGGACTAGAATTGTTCAGACAACTGATCATGTATGAAAAAATATATTAACCTATTCCATGTTGAAATTTTTCTCTGTTGCATGTCGCTTTGCATTGAATTTTCATCAATGTTAAGACTAATGAAAATTTTTTAAAATAATAATTGTGGCTATTGTATAGTTAAAAATTATTTCTTTATTTTGCACAAACAAAATAAATATATTGAAAAATATAAACACAAAAAAAATTATATTTCGGAAGTTAATCTAGTATCAAAACATACACAAACATTGCTAAACCCAATATATATAACATAACTAAACACCAACCGTATGCCGAAAATCTATCGGGCTAGTTTAAGGCTAATTTAGTAATTAGCCTTAAACTAGCCCAATAGATTTTCGGCATACGGTTGGTGTTTAGCTAGTATCAAAAACTTTCCAATTCAGCACAACACACATCCAATAGTTTAAAAAAGAATTTTTCATTGTAAATAATCAAATTCATCAACGTTATAGACTTGTTCTGCTATATAATTGCTTTCTTCCATAATTTTCGAAAAATGTTCAAGAAATCTTTGATCCTTTGTGATAACAGTTAAAATTTAGAGACATGTTTGAACTGCATAAATTTGTCCGATAATGTATGTCCCCTATACCACGATTTCCTACAACATGGAATGTATCCCCCATGTTATACAGGAGTCTACTGCATGTCATTTTCTACCATTGTCATCTGTAAGTATTGTGTCTTTCTGAAGTTTTTGTATTTATGACATTGTCTTATGGCAATCATAAATACTTTCATTTCTCGAAAAATTTCTTATTATAATTATTAATAAATTTATTTCTATTACTCTATAAATATATTATTTTTACTTACAATCATAATCATTGATACCAGCAAGAATTATTCTTGTGCAAATATTTTCGCTCCAATTTGCAACCCAATTAAATACTATATTGTTATGTGAAAAGTCTACATTTTCTAAGACTTGTCTGTCAAATTGAATAAAATAAGTACTTTTAATTTTAACATATAGAGATAATAGATTGTTTATGACTATAAAATTATAATATTATACAGTAGAACCTCCATTATCCGGACCTCCATTATCCGGATTTTCGATTATCCGGATTGTTCAAAATAAACAAAAATTTTACGAATTTGCCGATTTGCACTTGGCAAATTACGATACTGTTTATGTACGTGATGGAATGCATAACTTTATTTGTTTCAACAACGTCTCACCCAGCACAGTGGTCATAAACTCTTAAATATATTTTACGTAGTAATAAAAATATAACTTGACATTCGTATAATTTATATTCAAATTGCATCATTTCTATGACCAAGGGCGGCGTAAGGCATGGACGACGTGAGCCACCGCCTATGCCTCGCGTCTGAAGGGCCTCGCGCCTCGAAGGTTTATGCATTACTTAAAAGCCGCGAACGCGAC